AATTATGGTCACTCATCTAGACACTAACCAGATTCAACATTTCTTAACTTCAGTGATTGGAAAAATTTGATTATATCTTTTTTGGTTGTAAACTAGAAATAATAAAATTCTGTTTAGTTGAGATGAAAATTCATTTTTACACAGGATACTTCAGATGATTTTTCATACTTACCAGGATTTTGTGTCTTTGGATTATCATTTTCACTAGAACAGTTTATTAGTTCCAGAATGTCCTGAAATGTAGAAACTTCAAAATCCAGCACACTTATCAACTTATCAACAAACACAGGAATTTATCAGTGAGGAATGAAAAAATGATCTAGAGCAATAATGAATAATTATTTGATCCCTTCCTTCAAAATTTGATCTTACATTTTGAACAACTGAATGCTTGTCTAAATAAAATGACAGCAACACAGAAATTTAAATTATGATTGAAAAGTTGCAAACAACCCTTAGTAGAAAAATAATAATGGTTTAAAAATAAATTTAATACATAGAATTAAATAAACTTATTTTTTTTATTTTTTATTTTTTTAAATGGTAACATTTATATTGTTTCAAACCTATAGAATTAGGTCATAAATATTTATCAACCTTTTTAAGGTTATTTAAAGCCAAAAACAGTTTTTCCCGAGTACTGCTTTAAAAAGAATTTAAAAAATCTTTCCTTTAAATAAAACATTTTCAGAAATAAGTCAGAAATTTTAAGTTGATCAGAATTTGGAAATATATTGAATGCTTGCTAACATGAAAATTATGCTCCCAGGTTTTATATATCTTTTTTTTTTAAATCATGATACCTAATTTATTAGTCTGGTTATTATAATAAATAATATTTATAATAATTGTGACATACATTTATGTGTTTTTATATCATGTTAAGTTCTAGCTTCAGAAAACAAGAAAATCTAATTAAACAGATGGCAACAAAAAAATATAGATGGGAAATATTAAGTATTTTGGTGGTAGGTTTTTACAAATCATTCTTCTCTTTTTTTATGTGTTATAATAGTTTTTATAAGCAAACATTCGGACTATGTATGTGTTCTCTTATCAATGGTGTTTCAGCAGACTGTTGCTTTTTACAATTTGACATATATATACATACTTGTATATGTGTGTCTTTAAAATATGTGATAGAATAATTAACTAAGGAACAAGAAGAAAATCTTTATAAATTTGACACATTTAGCTTCATTAGAAATTGAGAGTAGAATGATTCAAAGTTAGATTTCAGCTTTTAAATTCTAAAAAATATAAAAACTGAAATTAACAACCCCACCAAAAAAAAACAAAACAAAAAAACAAACAAAAAAAACAATTCACTCCCAAAATTTCTGGACGTGTCAAATTTGTAAAGATTTCCTACTTGCTTCATATATATATATATATATATATATATATATACACACACACATACACACACAAAAGTGAACATTGAAGTCAACACTTAGAGGTGACAGTCTGTTTCATCTAGACGCAATCGCCAGGCCACCATGCCTCTAAGTGTTGACTTCAATGTTCACTTTTATATTTACACATGCTCAATCTCTGATATTGAGCACTTTATCTCATAAATATAGCACATGTTAAGAGTATATATATATATATATATATATATATATATATATATATATATATATATATATATGCCATACACCTGGTTAAAGCTGTATTCAATCTCTAAAAACTGCAAATTTTGACTTACATCTAGCAAAAACCTTTTTTATATAACAAAATACTCAAATGCATTTAAAATGGAAACTGGATAAAATTACAATTCAAGGAAAAGAACATCATAGGCCAATTAAAACAAAGGGTTGATCAGGAAATTACAAATAGACAGGCTTCATTTTTTTTTTTTTTTTTGGTGGTGGTGGTCAGGGGCATACTATGAAATATTTCTATGATTGAAATTTCTTTTAATTAATATTTGTTTTTTTTAAACAGTGTGTAGCAGAAATACCTCTTACATAATGGTAAGACACTAGTCTTCATCTAACTAATTATGTGGGAGGTATTTCTGCTGTACCCAGTATATATTGCAGGTTTTAGATCTTGTGATAATAAATTTTATAAGAATTTACAAAACTGACAGAAACTGGTAGGTCAGAAATACTTCCCAAAGTGAGTTTCAATATATATAAAAAAAACAAAAACAAACATTAATGTCTATCAACAGTGAAAAAGAGAAAATTCCTGGGAAGGCATAAAGAAAGTGTTAAAATGGTGATTCTTACAAGAAATTTTTTTTATATTATAATTTAATGTCGAGCAAGTAAGAAGGAGGCAGGGAGAGACAACAGAAAAACAATTCATGTCTCAATATAAAAATTTATTTGTATATTATATATATATATATATATATATAGTCTGACAAGTTTATCAAGTAAGCTGGTCAAGTGGCATGAGGTATGTGTAGAATGTGTAGAATGTGTAGAAAAAGCATTTATAGCATAAAGAGTTTCTCATGTTAAAAGTTGCAATTCTTATTCTTTTTCTTCTTGCCAGTTGGTCGAGTTATCATTGGAGCTCTGATCATTTTTGAACTTCAGATCAGCTCCAATTACTGACCCTAACCAACAGGAATATTCTGTTTAATGTTTTTCTCAGTTGTTTTTTTTTGTATGTTTTTCTTGTTATTGTTGTTTAGTGAGCAAAAATTTGTTTTTGCAAAATCTTCTTTGGGGAAGCCAGAAGAGTTTGGCCAAAGATCTAAGAGCCCAGTCGGCAGGAAGTGAGAATGGACAGAGCAAAATGGTCCACACTTCCTTTTTGTGGTTGCTACTTGAAAACAGAAAAGATAAATTAAACAGAGAGGGAAAGAAAATATGATGAAGGAAAAGGAGAAAATGAAGAATGATAGAAAGACAATGAGGAATTGAGAGAGAGTGATAAAGAGAAGGAAAGAGTAGGAAAGAAAAAAAATGTTGTGACATTTTGTGAAATGTTTCATGAGAATTTGGTGAAAGCATTTTGGCTTCATACCCTTGACAGCCAGGTTGGAAAATTTTGGAAAGAGAGACAGAGAAATAATGGAGGATGCGGAAAGGAAAGTAGTTAAAATAAATGGAATGACAACAGAATTAACAAAAAAAAAAAAAATAATAATAATGTTCATTTACAGAAAAAAATCAAGTTCTATAAAATGAAAAACAAGAAAAAAAAAAAAAAAAAAAAAAAAGATTAAAAATGTGTTATCGTCTTCATGAAGGAAGAGAGTGTCTTTCATAATTTGAATAAAAATAACTTTTTAATGATTAAATGATGGTTCTGAGTGGCAAGAAATTCAGACACTGAGAAATGAATTTGGGGTGAAAATAAATAAAATTTTTGAAACATGAAAATTCTAAGAGGGATTTGAAAATACCTTTTTCAAACCTGAAAATTCAGTTGAACAGAAATTCAATTTGAAGACTATTTTTAAAAGTTGCACTTAAGATGAAGAATCAATAAAATTATTTAGAATCAAAATACTAAAAACAAGCAAAAGTAACAAAAATGAAAAAGAATTTTTTTTTTTACTTTGAGAAGAATCAGAAACTGAAGAAATCGGAAGGAGATTCATTGATGAATTAGAAAAAAAAAAAAAAAAAAAAAATAACCAAAATATAGAAACAAAATGGTGGACAGAATGAAAATAATAATAAATTTAAGAGAAAGATAGTAAAGAACCAGTGTATGTGAGTATTTGTATGTTGGTAGGTGCATATGTATCTAAGAGAATGTGTGGGAATAAGAAGGAAAGAGGTGTATGGATGGAAAAGAAAAAAAGAATGAAAGTGAAAAGGAAGTTTGTGCATGAAATAAGAAAGAGATTTTTGTATATGTGTGTCTATCTGTTTGTACAGAAAAGAAATAAATAAAGCAAGAAGTATGCAGAACAAATGAATTTGAATTTTATATATATATATATATATATATATATATATATAGTTGGGAGGTATATGATTGTGAAAAAAAAAAAAAACCCTGTAAAACTATGTTTAACATTTATATCAACGTAGATGTTAGAAATGTATTTGTGGGATAGATAATATGTATGTAAGAAATGTTGGTATAGGTATGTATGCCAGAGACAGACGTAGATGTTTGAAGAATAAGATACGTATATGGAATTAAGAACTATGGAATTATATACATACAAGAATATCGATGTGTGAAAGTGATGGATACTATGAACACATGCAGATATCTGTATGTATGTATATTCTGGAGAGTGTATTTTTTTTGTATGTTTTAATTAGAGAGAGAGAGAGGAGGAGAAGAAGAGAGAGGGAGTGTTGGGAGGGGATATGACGAGAGTCATGCAAAGGCAGTCAAGAATGAAAACATGTCAGAACATAATTTATAGTCAATATTTACAACGAAGGGTGAAAACAGAGAGAGAGAAAGAGAGAGAGAGAGAGACAGTGGCACTTGACAAAATTGTCTCTTGTTTTTATTTCATTGTTTTTTTTTTAAAGAGTTTTTTTAATTTTTTATTTTTTTGCAATCTTGGTTTTGTCTTCATTTTTTTTTTTTCTTCTTTCAATTTATGTACACAATGTCAAATGGTGGATAGTAAAAATCTTCTTAGTTCTTAGGTTTTCTGTTTGCTTTCAAATGACCAAATGATAAATCTTTTCGTTTCTTTGTTTATTTTCCTTTTTTTTTTTTTTTTAATATATATCTCTTCAAATATTTTTTTTTTTCAAGAAAAGAAGAAGAAAATTTGATTTTTAGGGATTCTTTTTGTGATTTATGGAAAAATCAAATATTTTTCCTTTTTCTCTTTAGTTTTTTTTTTTTGCAAAAATTTTTTCCAAAAAAAAATCTTTAACATTCATACGTCCATTTGTTCGATCATTCAATTTTTTTTTAGTCATTATTTTTTCATTTATTTTTTAAACCTTACGTCCTTTCAATTCCAATGATGAAACAATGAAAACTATTTGTTTTTTGTTGTTTTTTTTCTGTTGTATATAATTTGTTTTTTTTCAAAACTCTACAAATTGCTAAGAGATCATGCTAGATGATGAGCCCCCATGTCCTTGTGGCTGAACAGCACTGGTCAAGTCTTGTCTCTGTCTGTCATCTGTCGGCCGCATGGCAAAGACGGTTTGGGGTTGTGAACCGGTGGCCATCACCTGACGTGACAATGGAAAAGTCACCTGAAGTGAGGGCACATTCAGCCTGCCCCCAAGTGTCTTTGTTATTGCATTGCTCCCCCCCCCAGAAGCAGCAGCTGAACCTGCTGCTGATTTGATATGCATATGAGCAAGTGTCTGGTGATGGTGCTGGTGCCCACCTTTCCCACTGCTGCCCGTTGCAGCAGTGGTCAGTGTAGCAGCAGATGCAGATGTTGATGCTGTAGTCGAGGACAATTTTGGACTGCTGCTGCTACTGCTGCCTCTTCCTCCTCCACTTCCACCATCTCCACTGGAACCACCACTGCCAGCTCCTGCTGCACTACCACTGCTCTGATGCTGCAACTTGGCAGTAGAGTTGGCTGATGAAGACGACAATGAAGATGAGTGACGGGCTTTGCTGTTGCTATGGACATTGATGGCTTGACTTGATTGCAGCGCACCTGACGATTTGTGCGCTCGCTGCACTGATCCCTGAACAGTGTGCCGATGATTGCTGGAACCTTTTTCTGAAAGAGTGCAACAAGCAATTTATTTCATTGTGTGTGTGTATGTGTGTTTTTATATATATATATATATATATATATATATAGAGAGAGAGAGAGAGAGAGAAATGAATAAAAGTTACAAGTTGATCAGAAAAATATTTTAAAAACATAATTTCATAAATTCTTGTTCTTAAGAAAAAGTATTGTTCTTTCCCTAAAAAATTTTTGAACACTATTTCCATCCCAAATTTCTTTACAAGAGATCTATAACCATCAATCCAAACAAGCTCTGTAAAAAGCTAACATTTCTAGTTGAGAAAAGTCAGAAGAATCCTGTTTGTCTCCCTCTAATGAAGTGAGCTGCCTTCCAGATGTTATCGAATAAAAAGAAAGCCAAAAATTGTAGAAAACAATGGTAAATGTGTAGATTAAAAATACATGTCCAAATATAATATCTTCCATTGACATTATATTCAATTTTTTAAAAATTTTAATGAAATTCTAAAATTTTAATTTTAAAACAGAAACTATTTTTTTTTTAGGAAGGCCAGAATAAATATTTTTTGACAAAGTTGATTGAAACAAAATCCCATTCATGTTGTGAGGAACAAATTTATAAGCAGTGGTTTCTAAAACTGACATCAAATTCATTTCTCTAGAAACTTATTTTGGGAGAAAGGCAAGTTTCCAGCCTGTTTCAATTAAAACATATCTACATTTAAGAACATATCCAAAAAATAAACAAAATAAGCATTTTCTATTAATAGGAACTGCAACTAAATTTAATTGTTTGGTATTTTCTTCTTACAGACATATATAAGATGCTTAGATGAGCTACATTGTTTAGTTCCCCACCTGTTCAGCCCTTTACATCTCGTACATGCCATGCTGCTTTCATGGAGATGAAACACACCTATTTCTTGTGCCCCAAAGGTCAGTCAGTTTCCCCCCCCTCAAAACTGCCATTTTGTGGAATAGACTCACATGTGGATGCATCTCTGAAGACTGCAATCTTAACCTCTTCAAGTCAAAGATCAATCGTTATCTATTCCCATTCTGCTCATAATCTTCAATTCTTGACATTTCCTCTTTCATTAATATCACACATCTCATTCATCATTAACATTTTAACAGTAACCCTCTACCTTGATTGGCTCTCGAGCACTGCATCAAGTGAATTCTAGTATATATATATTTAATTTAATTGTGTCCATCTTAAATGGATATGCAATTGTCTTGAATGTGCTTTAAAACGGATAACATTTTCTTTTTTTTTTTTATCTCCCTCACAATGAACTTCAATAGATGACATGTTTTTATGCAATCATTCCTGGGTAAGAAAATTATATTTTTGGGGTAGATTCTGTGCACCCTCAATTTAGCATGTTGAAAGAATAAAATAGGTGGGAATCATATACAACCTGCCAATTAAAACCATTGGAGGTGATTCAGAGATACTAAGCCCCACCCTCAAACCACATAATTCAACATGTTGGATACAGGGTGATTTTGAGAAAAACAAAGTGAATCTTTTAATTTTGCATTAAATTTAAGAAAGTATTACAGAATAAATTGCAACATATTTAAGGATTTAGTCAATGGTTTCAAATGTGATCTTTCATTTTTCTAATGAAAAGGACAAAAAAATGATATAAATATCAAAACAATGCAGAAAATAAAAAATATGAAGGAAATAGATAAAAAAATTTCCAGAATTTCCTTGAAACAGAAATCCAGCCAAATTCTAGATTTCCAGCCATGGCTCTTGTTGAGTGACGTAAATCATTCAACTTCACACAACCAGAGCCAATTCCTTTGGACTTCTAAATAGTTCAAAATGAAAGTACTTAAAATTAATTAGATATGCATTAAACTTTGCCAAAGAAGATAAATGTATAATAATACTTACCAGAGGGGGACGGTACTATTCCATTTGGTAATGGGGATGACACAGTGACCTGAGGACTCACAGAACCCTAAAAAGAGAAAATAGTTATAATTCATTTTAAAGGTTCAACAGATTTTCTTGAAGAAAACATTTATGGCTGTCAATTTATTTGCAAATGTGAGCTACAAATTAGAAATGTCAAAAAATTAAACAAGTACAAAATTTTAAATATCTGAGATGTGTATTAAGAGATGACAGAAAATGTGACACCAAAATGTGAAGATGGATTAGAATTGTAAAAGATGCAATTCAAAAAAAGAAAAAAAAAGTATTAAGAAATGGGAAAATTTTATTAGGAACAAAGAAAAGAGTGCTGAACTGCTATGTAATATCAATCATTCTATATGGCAGTGAACACTGGACAATTTCTTCACAGATGAAGTGGGGACTTGAGGCAATTGAGATGTGGTTCTACAGAAAGATGCTGAGAATACCATAGACAGAGCATGTGAACAACAAAAAGGTTTTAAGGAAAATGGAAACTAAAAAAAACAATTATACATAAAATCAGAAAAGTTGAAATTTTTGGGAAACATAATGAGGAAAGGAGGTCTTGAAAATTTGACACTCACAGGACATATAGAAGGCAAGGAGAGACAGAGAAAAGCAATGAGTAACCTACCTAACAAGTTTGTCTAAATGGATGGCAGAACAAGGAGAGGGAAGGATATTAAAAAGACAAACATTGCTAAGAACTACAAAGGATAGGATGTTGTGGAGAACCATGATCGCCTATGTTCTGAAGGGACAAGGCACGTAGAAAAAGACAACATGATTCATGGTTGATTGTAATTAAAAAGAATATTTTTTGCCTCTGAATTAAATAAGGACTTTTACAGATTAGTAGCAGGTACAGTAGATTACAATAATCAATAGAATAAATTCATGGGTAAATTTTGTGAAGTCATAGAAAGTTTGCATATTTGGCATTCAGTATAGCAATGTCATATTGATTTTTTGTTCACCATGAAATAGTGTAATGAGAATTGCATAAAATCACAACCAATTAATTTATCACTATGTTTAACAAGGATGAGCAAGTAGTGTAAGAATTGACCTTTTTACTTTGTACTAATTATGTATCCATCTCATATCCTCACTATGGATAAAATAATAATGTATACTGAGCTCTCTAGTCTTGGTAGGGCAACCAAGTCTAGAAGGACAACTTGAAATTCAACCCACACTAACCAAAATGTCATGGAACAGTGTATCAAAGTAAGGCCAATAACTCTATATCTTACAGACCTTAGGGAATCATGAGATCTGTAGTGAACAGAGAAATAGGCAGGTATAAATATTAAAAAGAAAATGTTTAATGTGTGTCTACATTATTAGAGCGAAAATCAAAATGCTCTCAAATGATTTAACTTATTTGGAAATATATCTACAACTATTCATATTATGGTAGATTTTGTGAATTCTCAAATAGACTGTCATATGATAGAGTGAGAAAGGCTTTGTTGTTTTTGTGTGTCTTTTTGAGAAGTTTAAGATGATCTAATTACATTTGAAGTTCCAATTGAAGCTTGATAAAATAGTTTTAGTGGAAAAACCATTGTACAAATCTAAAAAAAAAAAAAAAACAGTAGATATTTATTGAGTGAGTGTCAAGTATATGAAATTAAGCACAAAGCATGAGATTTGAAAGAGTTTCCAGAGATTTAGATAATTGTCCAGAGGCTAAAGTCAGCATTAAAGAAATTATTTTTGATTAAAGAAACATTTTTGAATAGATCAGCAATACATTAACAATGAAATGTATCAATTGTTGTTATTTATTATTAAAAAGTTGCCTTCAGTAGTGAATAATGTCATAATGTCTTTCAAGCTACTTTGAAAGATAAGACTCATTACAATTCAGAGATTAAATTTTAAACTGAGATTTTAAGTTTAATCCCTGACTCTTATTTTACCATTGCTTAATTTGAAAATCTAGAAATGGATCTTGATTGATTTGTTTTTTATGGCTTATCAACCTTTTACAGTTTATTTAAAGCCAGAAAATATTTTTAGATTGTAAGAATTCTTGAGGGTTAATAATGATTTACTGAAACAAATCCTACTAATTAACCCATAGCTAGGGGGAGATGTGGATTCATCCCTTTCCCAAAAGTATTTGTGCATAAGTAAATATAATGAACCAGACTGGAATTGACATTTTCCAATTCTGAGCCATTAACCATTATACCACCCACACATCCAAGTTCGTATTCCCAAGCAGTCACCCATCTAGGACCTGATCAGGATCAACATTGCTTAACTAAGTGATCACATGAGACCTGGTGCTTCAATGAGATATACCCATAAGTCCAGAAATGGATCATTTTAATATCTGATAACAATAATAAAAATTAAATGGCAAAATACTATACCATATATACAGAGTGCAGCAGAAATACTTCCTACATAATGGTAAGACATTAGCTAGATGGCAAGACCATTGCCATTAATGTCTTGCCATTATGTGGGAAGTATTTCTGTCGCACACTGTATAAAGAATTTTTAAATAACATTTGAGTGTACAAGATTAAAGTACTTCAAATCTCAAAATACATCCAAAATAATGAAGCATTTTTAACCATAAGCAAATTATAGGGTTTACATTGTTAAAGAAAGTCTCATTCCATCAACTGGGAGAGTCAGTCATTCCATCAACTGGGAGAGTCAGTCATTCCATCAACTGGGAGAGTCACTATACATCTTGGTAATGTTCTAAAATAATAATCTTTCTCTTTTGTTTTTTTTTTAATATATATATATCTGAAGATTGTGTGCTTAGAGACAAGTAATCATATTTCAAAAAGTACAAGATCATTTTCATAAAACTTTAAGCATATACACACAAACACACATTCCCTCTTATAAAATATTTTTAAGACAGAAGTAATTGTAAGGATTAATAGTATTTAACTTTATTCCTTAGCATAGCACAGGTTAAACAGCCAACACATTCTGATCAATCAATTCAAACACAAATAGGGAGTTGTAAACACTTTTTTCTCCTTCTGTATTGTTTACACTAAAATTTTCTTTTTATTAGCCTAAACAAATTAACCCCCTCTAGACCGTTTTTTTTTTTAAATTTAGATTTTACCATTTTTAAGTTAACTGAAATGTAAATTCAATTTGTGCAGGGCTGGATTATGCTAGTGCAGTGCCTGCAACAATATATTATAAAGGGTCCCTAAATTTAAAAATAAAAATAGATTATTTACAGGCATAGTGATAGAATTTATAAAATAGGTAATTATTTAAATGTCTATCAATATAATAAACAAGCCTAGAAAAAATATGAGGCAAATGATTTTAACGAGATATTTGAGTAAATTTATTGGTCTTGATGTTACTTGAAATGATAATTAAAGATGTAGCTCACCCAATAAGGAAATATTAATATTGTAAATATGCTGCTTTCACCAAACCGCCTGAAAACATTTAACACGGGGGCACTTAAAAATGTAGGGCAATGTAGCATTTGCTACTAGGTTAATCCAGCATTAATTTAGTATGGTATCTACACAAGTTAACACTTCTATGCCGTTAATATTCTGACAGTATTATGCCCAAGATCTATAGTACAGGCATGTTCACTCAGAAATGCCTGGTTTTGGTCATTTCTATGGAAAATGAATGCTGTATATAACTGCTTTCTATGATCAATGGCTAAAAATGGCTTTCAGTGAGTAAAGCCTATGGGACTTGGTGAAGACCACACTTCTTCGAACCATTTGGATTGGTGCTACAAGATAACAGAAACCAAATTGCTTGAGGACTTTCAGCAGCAGCAACTAAAATGGATATCATATGTAATGTGAAGAGAAAATAATGACATAATCAAGATGTTGATCTACACGACTCCAAATAAAAGGTTAGGAAAGAAACCCCTCCTCACCAATACCTGGAAAGAGCAATAACAGTTACTGACACATGAGAAACCTATTTTCCAGAAAAATTGTTCTAAGAGAAAATTCAACAGAAAGCAGCAATGGCTGTTCAGTCAATGAATACCAAATGTTTCCTTATAAGGAAACGGCTAATATTACAATTACATTCTATTTGACTATCCATATTTATAAAGGATCTTCAGGATTTACTTTCTACACTTTCTTTATATTAATTGTGTTACTCTATCATGAGTAACCAATATTTTTAAAATCAACAGCCATACTGAACAAGAAAGTATATACACACTTTTAATCCTATACTTAGCATCAATAACATACATTTAATATTGGTCAACAGATTGAGATCATTTTTTCTGTGGTCATTAAATATCTACCTAAATATCAAAATACATAGCAACAGCAGGTGATTTTGATACCAACACAACTTATTAAATATCTATTAAAATATAATTTTCTGGCTGATAATCAAAATTGAAAGTTGAGCAAATAATTAATAATTCTTGGTAGGAATATATTGTAGGATATTTTTCATGTTCACAACAAGTGGAACAATAAAGGCATGATATTCTAATTATATTAAGCAACAGATTTTCGGGCCTGTTTTTCAATAGCATGAAAAAGTCTGTTTTTAATATCAAATGACAAAGCAAAACAACAATTTATGCACTTTACTGATTTATTCTATTATTACTCAAGCCACTTTATTATTAGCCTATATCCTTCTGGCATTAGTTTAAAATAACTCCTTTTCTTCCTATATATTCTGATAAATCTGATTAAAGTTTGTACTTCCTTGATTTCAGATGAAGACCTGTAAATCTTGTAACATATTTCGGTTATATTTTCACTTTCTAAAGTCTTAGTTTATAATAATAGTTTAGATTAAGAGATAAATGATACTGGAAAAAACTTTATTCAAAATTATTACTACACTGATATCCTAAAAATATATTTTGATGAATGTCATTTCTATTCATCTATGCAGAATAATGAAGTTAATTTTGTATAAACTTAACTATGGCTTGTTTTCTACAATGATGGAAAGAAGAAATTCTTCCAACTTTTTGTTTAAACAGCTTAGAGAGCCAGACATAATTGAGCCATAAACTAATACAGAAAG